AGGGAAGTGCCAGCTAGGCTAGAGCGGGGACGAGAGGGAAGGGAAATGCTTTGCTGTGACAGTCGAGGTGAGCATGATGTGATGGGGACAGTGAGATGCTTGGGTGCCTGCAGATCCTCTACAAGGCTTGGAGAACAGCGCTGACGCTCTGCAAAAGCTCGCCTTGCAGCAAAGCCCGCCAGAAGCGGCCCCTGAAGTAAAGTAAATGAAAGTCAGGATTTAGTGCGAAACAGCAAACATTGTGGAAAAGCCCCCCAAACCCAGCTGTGTTTGCAAATTCAGCTGTGTAAAGTCTCACATTCCCATGAGCTGCAGCAGCAGAAAATTGCCTCTGAGCATCTGCAGCCGCCCCGCGGCTCCTGGTGCCTGCAACGGGGATGCCACGGCGCGATGGGGCGCAGGGGCTTAGCAAGGGGCATCGCTGCAAGGGGCAGCACCGGAGGGGAATTAAGAAGGTGGAGTGGACCAGTTAAAGGGCAGAGGAGAAGGATGAAGGAGAAAAGAAAGGTGAGAAGGATAAGAACAGAAAGGACGGAGTGATTTCAGCAGCTGTTTGTGAGCGACTCCAGGCAGGGCCTTTGTGGATTAATATCAACCGGGGAATATAGGGTCTACATCCCTGCTGAAATCAGGGCAAAAGCCTTGCGTATAGCCTTGGTCATGAGGAACTCACAAAGTAAGTTGATGAGACAGAGCATGCCAAAGGGATTATTTTTCCCAGTTTGCAGCCAGAGAACTGGGAAACTGTGGCAAGACTAAAATGCCCGACTCAAGGTCACAGAGCAAACCTCTGGCAGAGGGGAGCAGAAGCCCAGCCCAGCTGGTAGCTTATGGAGCTCAGCCCTCGCATGCCTTGGGGCTGCCTTGGCTGACAGACTGCCACCGCAAGGCACAGAGCGTGTGTGAGCCGCCAGACGGCTGGACAAAACGCTCCAGCATTTGATACGGACATGAGTAAGAGGTCATGGTCTCCTCTGGGTACTCAAGGGCATTTGCTTGCCATGTCTGAACATGGAGAAACTTGTTTCTTGTATCACATAAGAGGGAGGAAAACCACTCCTTGGTCCTTGCCAGCTGGTAAAGGCTTCAAGAAGAAAATGTTCTGCACAGGTTTAACCGCTTTTTTCTGCCCTGTTGCCAGGCCCGCAGCACATTGCTTCTCCCAAGGTTTTCTTCAGTTCATTTCTCCCACCCTCCAGTAAAACACCTCTTCCAACTTCTGCTTGCCATGTGCTTTTCATCCTGCAGGTGTACGAACTGGATGGCACCCGGCACAATAAATCGTGGTCTGTGGCAACCTATCGGGAAGTGACCAGGCAGTTTGTGAAGGAGCACCCTGACTTTCTTGGAGCCAAGATTATATTTACAGCACACAGGTAGAGGCTGAGCAGGGCTAAGAGCGGCTGTGCATGGCTGGCTGTGCTACGGCGGAGGTGGCAGTGGGGAGAGAGGGGTCCAGGCCAGCAGAAGCGATGCTGAGGGCCGGGCTGAAGTGCCACAGTTGTTTAGCAATGCCTGCGTGCATCGTCAGACCTGGGGTGTTGACTCCCGAAGCATTCCCTGGCACTTGTAAAAGGCTGAGGATGAGAAATCATCTATATAAGTCTGCGTACGTGTGAAGTGACCAGGGTTAGCTCATGGTGTGCGCTGGAGAGACAAGCGTCTGTGAGCCCGGGGTGCGGGAACGAGCAAGGGAAGGGCTGCTTGCGGTGTGCGTGTCCAAGCCATGCGTGCTCTCTTCCCGAGCCTGGACATACTTCTCTCTGCAGAAGCTGAAGCAGTGACAGCACTGCCCGAGTATGGGCACTCAGTATTGCAAAGGTCCTTGTGGGACCCTGCAGACACTGTTCTCCCGGCAGCCTTTGTACGGTATGTTCGTGCTGCTGTTCGCAGGCGGGCACAAGGCTGTTCTCCAAGTCAGCCAGATGCCATGAAGTCATGTGAGGTGATCCTGAGCAAATATAACAGACCTCTCAGCAGCACTTACTCTGGCTCGGCACGATGCCGTTTCCAGTTCAGAGCTGGCTTGCCTCTGGCCAGCTTGGGTATGGACAGAGTCTGTCTGCAAAATGCACTGTGATGTTTAAGTCTGATAGGGCTAGAAGAAATCTAAATTTAAAACTCTCTTGAAATGCAACTACTGTCCCACCTCCCAGCAAAACAGTCGAGAGGCAAAAAAAATATTTAAACATTTTCTCTCCATGCTGTTGTGTTCCCTGCTTGGTAGATGGGAAAGCTGGTGAGTCTTAGACAAGCATGCCTCAACTCAAGTGACAGCAGGGTCTAGCCAGGCATTTCCTGGTCATTCAGGGGTTTCCTTTCATAATATCAATTTTCTACTGCTGTTACTCTGGAGACCTGAAGCCGGTTGTCAGATTCAGGAGCAACTCGCATTTTGGAAATACCCCTGGGGCTCCCATTTCAAACTCAAACCCAAAGAAGGCAGGCCTGTGGGAGTGAGCCTCTGCACTGCTTTCTCTCTCTTGCTCTTTAGGATGCTGAATGTTTCCCAGATTAAAGAATCCATCGTCACTGCCATGGCACTCAGAGCCCGCTTCCCAGACACCCTGGCAGGCTTCGACCTGGTAACCGTATTTTTTCTGTGGCTTCGCGTTAACCCCTAGAGGTGCAATATAACTACATGTATAATATAGCATATGTTTTATACCAGAGCCAGATCCTCTGCTGCTGTACTGAATGTAAAAGAATGACAAATCCTCCAGCTAAGGATTTTATTGAGGGTAATTGACAAAATCTCTTGAAAGAATCCGCTCCCTAACCCCACAGCATTGTAATTTCGGTACAGTTGGCACCTCAGCGATATATACCTGTAAGTCCCACCATCTTCCAGAGCATGTTCAAAAATACCTATCCTCTTTCCTCCAGGTTGGTGATGAGGATGAAGGTCATTCTTTATGGGACCTGAAGGATGCCCTGACCATCCCGTATTCCCTGGGGGTCAACTTGCCATACTTTTTCCATGCTGGGGAGACCGGTAAGCATGAGGACACAAGGCCTGTTACTGCTTGCAGAGGCAAGAGGTGAAGTCTTGCAAAGCACAGAAGAAGCAAGCTTGGCTGTATGAAGATGATGTGTGTGTGTGTATACACGTGTATAGAATCGGTTTTCCCTATGCTTTTCCCCATATCAGCTTGTTGCTGTAGCATTCCTACACGGCACCTCCCCTACCCGCTCCCTGCTCTTGACTGTAGGCATCATGGTACTCAGCGTCCTTGCCCTGTGTGTTACATGGAGTCATGCTGCAAGAGTTATTGCTGGTAGCCACCTCCTCCTCGGAGCAGTGCTCACCTCCCTTCCACAGCAGCAGCAGAATTCCTCAACCATTATTTTACATTTTAAGGTGAAGGAATGTCTAAGCCAGACTCAAATTTTAACTGAATACACTCATCGAAGTAACTGATCATTACCTGTCATTCCTGGGGCAATGTATTATTATTGGCAATATATTATTCCGTCCGTATGGGTGGGATTTATCCTAACCACGCATGACAGTTGTGTCTAACTTGTGTTACACTTATTGCATGTTGACATCTACAGAGAAGATGTCTACATCTGAACTAGTTACCCTAGGCTCCCTTTATAGCCATGGACAGTAACAGGCACTTCTAAGATGTGATACATCTCTTCCTAATGCACAGGCTATTCCCCAGAAGTTATTACTTCTGTCCATTGACCATGAATGGATTAGCTTAGCTAATGACCAGCATGATTAGCTTAGCTGTAAAAGTAATACTGTGGACATCTAAAGCCAGGTGAGATGAGTGAGTATCTCTATGCTGGGCAATGTCCTGGGCAGATTTGGATCCCTGTTTCACTGAAAATGCAAAGTGGGAACTCAGAGCATGAGCAACGCTCTCACCTTGCAGCTGGGACATTTATTAACAAAATCATCTAGCTGTTTGAGAATATATATTTCCTCACAGCACTGCAGTGATTCTTATCTGTTTCTGCTCAGACTGGCAGGGCACCTCCGTAGACAATAATGTGCTGGATGCATTGCTACTGAACACCAGCCGGATTGGACACGGACTTGCCCTCATTAAACATCCAGTAGCCAAGAGTTTGTCTCTGAAGAGGGATATTCCTATAGAAGTCTGTCCCATCTCCAACCAGGTATGTTGGTAAAAGCTTAAGTCTTGGGGCTGGGACACTGGAATGGGATTTACCATAGCAGCTAGGAGCAGCAGGAAGCTGGGGGGCAGCTAGGTATTTTGTTGCACCCAGGCTGGCTCAGTTTCCTTTGCACCACATTACACTGCAGCCTGCTACGTAGACACACGCTGTGTATATATAAGGCTTGCAACACCAGTCAGCTCAAAATCATTTAAATTCCTATCCAGAGGAACCTGGGAAGGCAGTCCTCCTTAGTGGAGATGAGGCCCAGAGCCAGGGAGGTGCCTAAAGAGACAAAAAGAAAAATATTTCAAAGCCAGGAGGGCCAGAGGCTGAGAAGCTGGGATTGTAACTGGAAGTCTTTTGGTTTTGTAGAATTCATAACCAGGGGGAACTCTTTTGCAACACGTTAGCATGGTGCGCATTGTCCCCTGGGCGCAGCAGAAGGATGCTCTGGGATAAAGATGTACCTGTGTGAGCCTTGAGGGAGAGAACCCTGATACCAGCTCCAGATGCCCTGGGATAAGCGTTATGGCAAATACATAACCAAAAGACTGTTCCTGAAACGCTCATATAAACGTTATAAATAAGCAGAAGTTATTCACCCCACTGGCCTTGATTTAGGTGATTAATTGAAGAAACCAGTCTCCTTCTATAGTCAATGGAGACAAGTAGGCTCCTCCTGCAGCAGTTCAGAGCAGAACGCCTAACGTGCTCTGACCAGCTCTCTGGAGGCTCTTCCTCCCTGATGACTGCCTGCTGACACAGGCAGCTATAGCAGGCATGTGGTGTGACGGGTGCCGTAATGCAAACCCCAGCTACAGCAATAACCCAACGTCGTGTTGTCTCCCACCCTTCCCCACCGAGGTCCTGCTGTTGGTAGCTGACTTGCGGAGCCATCCCGCAGCCAGCCTTGTGGCTGAAGGGCACCCCATCGTGATCAGCCCTGATGATCCCCCTATCTTTGGGGCAAAGGGCGTCTCCTATGACTTCTACGAGGTGTTCATGGCCATCGGAGGGATGAATGCCGACCTGAGGACTTTAAAACAACTTGCACTCAACTCCATAAAGTAAGTTCCTCATCTCTCTCATCTAGCCATAGTAATGCTAAGGGGACTATCAGCTTGCTCCCTGGAAACCTGCTGTATTTGGGTTTTGGCCCCAGAGTCTCCTCTGCCATATGAACTGGGCTTCCATTAATCCAAAGTCTCCGCTGTGTGTCTCCTCCAACAGCAGGACACAGGGACCCCAGAGGCTCCTCTGCCCATGCCCTTGAGTGCCTTTCTCTAACTCAGTGTCTCAGTTTATTCCTCCTTTTCCATCCTTTGCGAACTTGCCTCCAGCACCCGGTTCTGGGTATGGGAGAAAACTGTTATGCTTTTGTATCACTTGTCTATTTCTGCCAAAATCTGACTTGCTGCGGTGTTTGCCATGGACCACTGGGGAAACACAGGAAAACAATCTACCAGCATGTAGTTTGGGTGTGTTTAACCACTTTTTCTGTTTATCTGGACAGCTCTGAACGTCCCAAAATAGTTTGGGTATGGTGCCCAGGGTCTTTCTGTACATTCCTAGACTCTTGTCTGTTTGCCAAATCCTATGCCAATCCTCATGCCAATCCCAAGTCCCCGCATGGCCAGGGAGACAACAAATACTCTTATTTCCTGCCGATTTGGACCAAGCCCAAAGGACATCTGAAAGCAACAGCAGCCTTGTCTTTTCTGAACTAGTCACTGGGTGCCGCCCAGTGAATCTCCAGCTTATGCAGACTGAGCTCTTTGTCCTCATGGGGCAGGACTCAGTAGCTGTTGATATGGCCATCATGCTTCACATCCCAGCATAAGGCCAGCTGGCAGGAGCTCAAGGCTCTTTGCGCTGTTACTCTGTGTGGTGTAGGCATGTCCTGCAAGGGTTAATCTGTTGCTGCCTTTTCATTTTGGCCACTGATCTTGAAATAGCTGCCCCCTTGTCTCCTGTCTGATACTGACTTTTCTCCTCCTCACAGATACAGTGCCATGCCACCGGATGAGAAAGCCAAGGCCAAAGAGGTCTGGCAGAAAAAATGGGACCAATTTGTGGCTGACCTCTCTGATAGCTTTTTGAGGGAGCTTTAGAGGGGAGGAGACTCATCTCAGAAGGCATTTGGCAAGCCAGAGCGAGCCAGGCTTATTGCTAGGAGGGAGACTGCTTCTTCCATGTGACCTGAGCAGATGAACGAACCTCAAAGTCTCACCTCTTAATGCTAAGAATGAGCTGCGCTATCCTGTGAAAGTCATGGACTGGAGGTAAAAGGGAGCAGTAAGCCTTTATAGCAACAACAAAAGAACACCCCACTCAAAATAGTCAAAACAATTAAAAATTGCCAATGACCAAATCCTGACATCCTTATTCAGGAAAAACATGCTTTCTAATTAGAGTTAGCGGGAGACTGCCAACACGAGGATCTCTGAATTTCGCCTTATCATTACAAAATGCAGACCTTGTCCGGAAACAGCTAAGACAAACATCCAACCATTTGGGCCACTGACCTTCAGGAGAGCAAGGACTGAAAATGACTCTTGTTATGTTTAACCCTGGGCCTGCCGCCAAAATAGCACTGCTAGGTCGAAGAACCAGTCATAGGTCTGATGTCTGCTATTTCAGGACCTACCATGGCTGGAAATGAGCTGATGGAACTTGCTTCCAGAACATTTAAGCCTGGTTGCACAGTGATCATAAAGCCAAAAAGAGGTGCCTCAGTTGCCAACAGTTTTTTTTACTGCAAAATCTTTTCCTGTCCTCTGGTCACAAGGAAGCCAAAACACTTTTCAGCTGAGAAAAAAAAAAAAACAACTGGCTTCCCAGATCCAGCTTGATTAAAACTGTCCCCCTGCACTGGACCATGTTAACACAGGCCTCTGCATTTATAGGAAGCACCTTTTGATTTCAAGGGGTTCCACTACCAGCCTTTGTCACCTAACTCAGAGTGCAAATGTGCCCTTATTCAGCCTGCCAGGTTTTCACCTTGGTGAAGAACTACTCTCACGCTGTGGATATCCACAGTGTTCGCGTGGACCTTTGTAGTTTCCAACTCTTTGGCAAAAAGCTATTGCAACAACTACACATTAAATAGTGTCTGGACAAGCAGATTCCCTTTCTTAACATCATCAAAAATATCAGGAGAAGAACTAGTTGCAGGGAGATTAAAAAAAAGAAATCTTAATCAGGATGTTAAATAAATTCAGGAAAATTCTTTGGCACACATACCCCAAGCACGCAAGCCAGGATCAACCAGCGTCTCTCCCTGACTTCAGTACAATTATGCTGGTTTGCATCAGACAAGGTAGAATTCACAAAAGTTCCTGCTGAAAAACGCAGACTTGCAAAGACTGTCATTTCCTGATCTGACCAGCTTGGGCAAATTGGCTCTCTTTATGTTTTCTGCTAATTGTCTCAAGCTGCCTGGCCATAGTGTTTATGTCCACTGACCTTGGTTAAAACACCTTAGCAGGAGGCAAATATACTTGCTACAGAAGTGGATCAAGCTGCGCAGCCTGTGCGTCCCATGTTAAACTGTCCACATTTCACAGGCTGCAAGTTCATCTCTAATTATCCCAGGGAAAAAAAAAACCCACACTACAAACCCCGTAACAAACCCCAAATAAACCCACAACAAACCAAAAGTGTCTACATTGCAGAAGCCAGCAACACAAACCACAGAAAGGAAAAAACAAGAACCCAGTCACACACCTCGCTAACTGAGGGGGTTGAGTGCCTCACACCCCTAGCCCTTTTCAGCCACAGCTGCCTCTACTCCAGCTCTCTCTGCCCACATGTCCCACACCTTCCTCTGAAGCACCAGCAGCTGCTCTGCGCAGGCTGGCCTTTCCTGGGCCTTGATGCAGATTTGGTCCTGGGATGAGCTTTATACTGGAGGAGGAGCAAGAGTAGAGCCACCTTCCCTCCTCCTCCACGGATGTTGCATACAGAGATCAGTCTAAAGTCCCCAAGGTAGGCTTTGGGCATGGTCAGATTATAAACGCTGACTTGGGAAATGCCTTATTTGTAATGCTGCTGAGGAAAACTGCTGCAAACGGGTGGCGTGGCTGCTAACCAGTGACCCAAAGCCATGTCCCTCTGAGCCCCCTGATCTTTCAGCTTTGCTATACATGGATGGAGGAAGATCTTTTATTTGCCGTGAGTTAAGTGAGCCTCTTTGCTGCCAAGATGAGGCTAATCATTACAGAGCCAGGGTGGGAGGAGCTGAGGTCCTCAACACAGATTGACCCGTGTTCCTTCCTCTTCTGCTGCAGTGGAAAGGTTTCAGCCCTTCCTGCATATGGTCTCTTGAGGGCTTGAACCACTGATGGCCTTTTGGTTACCTGGAGTCCTCCCTCCTCATTACCTGCATTAGCAGCAGGGCTGGATCTTCTGTTTGCCAAACACTTGCTGAGACCAGTTTACCTGTTGTGTCCAGTTTGTTCTCGCGTTCCTAGGAAAAGCCTGTTGTGCACTTGACCGTTTACCTACTTTGCATCAGGAACTGTGACGTGAGTGTCACAGTGTCTGGAGCCACCAGCGAGTGATACTGTTTGGGATTACAGCACAGAAATCACTGGGGGTTTAAAATTGTACAGGTCTGAGGTGATCTTCAGATGAAGCCCTCAGAAAGGTGAAACTTGACCCTACAGGGCTATGTTGGCATTTGTGACTACCCTAGTGACTCCACTTCTGCTGAAGGTATCCATCTTAGGGTTGGTCAGGTAGCAGAAACTTTCCCGTCCTGATCACGTATGTTTAAATGTGAACCTGAACTGCATGGAGACGCCTGACTCCATTGGCGTAGCCTTCCCTGGATCCCCGCTTGAACAGGGCATTGCCATGTGTGGTGACTTCGGCTTCCCAAGAGTCCTCTGGCAGTAGATGGGCTTTAACCATTTTTAGGGCCTTAGAGTCAGACGGGAGGAGGGCCAGCCTGCTTTACTGCTGGGGATCAACTCTTCCTCAGAGTGTGCCTTAATTTGGAGAAAGGTGCAAATTAACAAACGCAGACTGAATCCCCTCCTCTCTAACTCTAGGTGTGCAAAGGAGGAGGGCTTTAGGCTGAATCGCAGTCATTAAGAAAGATCAATCCATTCAGATATCCCCAAAGCTTCAGGTAAATTTGGCTACAGGGCTTCACTGAGACTCAGCTGCTACCATTCGCAGTAATATTTCAAGGATTTTGCTGCCAGTCTATTCCCTTACCCTCAGTACCTCAGCTCCCTGCTCACATTTGTTGGCAAATACATTGCATAAAATGCTTCCTTGCCTGTCTCTTTCGGAACATAGTATATATTTAAATTTTTAAACCTGTTTTAATTGTGGGGTTTTTCCTACCTTTTTTTTCTGTTAAAAAGAACTGGGGATACCTGTGTTTCATGTGAGGTTTTAATCTGGAATGTGCGGTGGAGGGGCGATGTTTTGCGTCACTCAGCCTGCAGTACAATTATGAGGGGGGTCTGAAATGTCTTCACAGCATGGTGCAAAGGGCAATTTGATCCAAGGGGCTAACACACTGTGGAATCAAGCCCAAGCCACCTGGCAGAGACAGGACACAGGTCCCCCAGCCCCGCCTTCCCCGAACCACACGGTAGCTGCATCCAACTCCGGGCCGCATTTTCATACAGAGACCACCCGACGGACATGATTTGCTATCTCTCCTACCAGCTAGAGAACCTGAAGAGCTGAGATGAAACAGGTATTTGGACAAGCAGGGCTGGAGGCAGCTACAGGGGTGGCGAGAGGCTGAGCAGGACAGACCTAAAGGGGCAGAAAGTGCCCTCCTTCGGTCTCCATCTGGACTCAGGAGCAAGGAAGGAAAATCCATGGAAGTTTCTGTGCTGCTTACTTTGAGCAGCCATAGGAAAACAGCAAGCCTTATGCCTGTTATCTCCCCCATCGGTCTCTCCCTGTGGCCTCTTCAGGTTCGATTTATTTAAATGGGAGGTGGATGGAGCTTTGCTCGCAGCACACCGTGTCACAGGTCTAGCGATGTTTTGTTGCAGAGCAGCTTAGACAACCTTTGGGGCACTTTAGCAAATGAAATGTTTGCCTCCTGGTCACTCACCGGCAGGAAATGGCTGATCCAGCACTAGTCGTTGCTGTCAAAAATCATGCCAATAAAAACAGAGGAGTAAAGTAGCTGGTTGAAAATAGAGATAGGCCCAAGTGAGCAGCTGGATCTGTATGTCATGTGAGCCTCCATCACTGCAGTGGGACTATGCAGATGCCAGATGCTAAGCAAAGCCCTCTGGCCATAAAACACAAGGCTATAGAGGTGTTTTCCATCAGCTCCTGACACCCGGCCCGCTTCAGGTTTTTCTCTTATAAGTCTCTGAATTAGTCTCTTCATAGGTAGCAGAAAGATATTTCTTTGGCCAGAAACTTGCAGCTCTGATTGGCTCAGTACTTAATTCCTTTCTTTCCAGGCCTGCAGCAGTTGCAATCACGGTAGGTCTATCAAGTGTTTTCTGTCTGCTGAGGGACAGGCAGGTGAAGGGTCTGGCTCTCAATTCTTCTGGCTTGTCATTTTTATCAGGCTGTGTCCTCCCCCTTGGTCATTACAGGATAAGAAAGGCATTTTACTGTATTTTCTCAACCTTTAGCTTGTCCATCATTCCATGAGCAGGCTGCAGCAGAGAAAGAGAAGAGATAAACAGAGGGGGGGGAGGGTTGGCACAGGCCATTAGAGCCTCTGAGGTAAGAAAAGAGACCGAAGGTACGGCTGCTTTTGAGGGGGATGTTAGAAGGTCAGGAAGGGGAGGTAGTGATGACAGGGCTATGAGTCCAGGGAAAACAGAGCTGCAAAGTTTACATAGGAACCCATGGGAGAAGGCTGTGGGCAACCGCCTGTTTTGCTTGTCTTTAAAGGCAGCTATGGAAGGGGGTGGGGAAAGCATCAAAGTACAGTGTAGACAGGGCAAGAAGAGGGAGTCTCCTGTGGGCTGGTGTGAGAAGGGCAGACAGACCACCTCCAAGGGTATTAGGGGATATAGCTGTTGCCAGATGTGCCTGCAGAAGAAATCATAAGGCCCATCCATGTATAACATGAAAAACACAAAGCTCCTAGTAGAGCCAAAAAGTCTCAACTCTTCAAGGGAAAATTGCACAACCGGGCGCTTAGCACAGGGATGACGGGCTAAAGTCTGCCTGCTGGCGCTGGGAAGACCACCTCCAAGGGTATTAGGGGATATAGCTGTT